AAACATTAGGATTCATTTTGGCAAGCATTTTTTATAACTTTATTTTACTTATTTATTTTTTATGTGGTGCTTAGATTTACATGATCCATGTCATTACTGATTTTCAAAAGATATTTGCCATTAAATTCCAGTTTAAAAAACCTGAGAAAGGTTTTAATTGCCTAGGCATAAATTATATGCCTATTTCTGAACCATCCATGAGCATTCTGATTGGACAGATTTGCATCACCATCTATTCCTAGATCTAAAAAGCCAGCATAACCCTCAACTAAACCAAATGGATCAAGGAGGGGAAGGGCTGTTTCCTAATCAAACTGAGTAGACAAAAAAGATATATCACTTAAAGGAAGTAGTCAACAGCGCCAAATGCTGCAGAAAAGTCAAATGATGCAAGAAGTGGAAAGAATACATTTGATTTAGCACTCAGTTGTTTTTCACTAAACCATTTCTGTGTTTAAGAATGGATCCTAGGGACAGCAATATCTGTGGTGAGAATGGAGCCTAGACTACAGTGGGTTGAGGAGGAACTTCAAGGTAAAGTGCAGAGTGAATGACTGGACAAATTATTACAAAGAATGTGACTGTGGGGACTGGGGTTGTGGCTCAGTGATAGAGTGATTGCCTAGCATGCATGAAGCACTGAGTTCAATCCCTGGCACCACATAAAAATAAACAAATAAAATAAAGGTATTTTGTCCATCTACAAAAAAGAATGCGACTATGAAAGAAAAGATTGATTTCTTTCTCTTTTTTCTTCTGGTGAGGAAGGATTTCTCTAAAGATGGGGTTGGTTCGACTATATTTAGAGATTTAGAGGCAGGAGGCAAAGTAAAGAGAAAACAGAAGACACAGGAGAAAAATTAGATGGTGATCCTCAGGGTCGAGGAGATATGCAGGAGGTCAAAAATATATAATAGCCTTGGATGAGATGTCTCTTACACTAAACTAAGATGGCATGTAAGTTGGGAGAATTCCATCTCACAGCCTCTATTTTTTTGTAAAATAAAATAAATATCGATAAAACCAGGAATGGTAGGATCATGAGCTTGATAGGAAAGATACAATTTTGAAGTAACTGTTGTGGGTGTGGAAAGGAGTAACTACAAATATATAAGCATATTTCTAAGCAATGTTCAAAGTATATCAGAGATTAAAGACCATATATGATTGCTGAGGTGATTGGAATGGAAGAATTAATGGGAATTTTAAGGTGTTTTTTTTTTTTTTTTGACATGGATAATAAAGTAGTTTAATTTCTTTTTTTTTTTTTTTTCCTCTTCTTTTTTGAAACTGGGGATCAAACCCAGGGCTTTACACATGCAAGGCAAGTGCTTTACCACTGAGCTACAACCCAGCCCTAGTTTCAGTTCTTTTGAAATATTATCCACTGAAAATATCAGTGCTCAGCCAAATCCCAATAGAATCAGGACAATGTATTGTTGAAGCATTTTGCTTCTGTTTCTTTGAGGATACAGAGAAAAAACAGAAATATATCTGAAAATTATTTCTATACTCATTATTTTTAATGTAACTAGAAAGTAGTTATTGAGACATACTTAATCATTAATAACCCCAGTATATACTGCTACTACAATTAAAGGGTAAGAGACTAGGGCCTCCATAACTTTTGAGCAATGGGATTTTTAACATTATTTATTATATTTATTTTTTAGTTGGACACAATATCTTTATTTTATTTATTTATTTTTATGTGGTGTTGAGGATTGAACCCAGGGCCTCACACGTGTGAGGCGAGCCCTCTACCGCTGAGCCACAATCCCAGCCCCAACATTATTTATTATGAAATATTTAAGACACAAAAATATAAGTAGCCATTTATCTAATCCTAGCTTACAAAAAAATTACCTAGATATTAAAGCCTCTCATATATTCCAACTTTGAATGATGCTATTCTGAGTTTCATGTTTATCGTTTCCATGCATTTGTTTGTTATTATATCTAAGCAATATGATATTGTTCTCTTTTTTTTGTGTGTGTGTGGTGTTGGGGATTGAACCCAGGGCCTTGTACATGCAAGGCAAGCACTCTACTAAGTTATATCCCCAGCCCTGTTCTTATTTTTTAATTTTATAAAAATAATTTTATATCATGTGTATTCTTTAGCCTTTTTTAAAATTAAAATTATGTATGGAAAAATCACCTAATTGATAGATGCATTTTTTCATTGTCATTTTGATAGTCATTGAGTTGTTTCTAGTTTTGTTTTCAGGTTTTACTATAACAGACAATCCTAGTATGAAAATTATTGAATGTATCCTCCTGTGTACATATATGAATTTCTCTAAAGTGTATTATTAAGATTTTATTTGCAGGGGTGCTATGGTTTGAATGTTTGTTTCTCTTCAAAATTCATACATTGGGCTGGGGTTGTAACTCAATGGTAGAGCGCTTGCCTAGCACATATGGGGCACTGCATTTGATCCTCAGCACCACATAAAAATAAATAAACAAAATAAAGATATTGTGTCCATATACAGCTAAAATTTTTTTAAATTCATACATCAGAACCTAAGACTCAATATGACAGTATTAAGAGGTGAGGGTCTTTGGGGAAGTGATTAATTCATGAGGGCTCTTCCTTCACCAAAGAATTAGTACTTTTATAAAAGCATTGATGGGAAGTATCTAGCCCCTTTTTATTGCCTTCTATCTTTTCGGCCATGTGAGGACATAGCATTCAAGCACCATCTTGGAAGCAGAGACTAAGCCCTCACCAGATACAGAGCCTGCTGGTGCCTTGATCTTAAGACTTCCTAGCTTCAATAACTATGAGCAATCAATTTATTATGTTTATAAATTATTCTGTCTATAGTATTTTATTATAGCAACAGAAATGGACTAAAACACAGGGTCATAGGTATAAGCATTTTCATTAGTTCAATGAGATATTATTAAATTATTTTCTAGAGTAACTGGTACCAATTTAGAAGATCACCAATAAGAGTAAGAATTCCTGTTGTGAAGCAGTAGTTTTTGAAATATGCTTCTTAGGATCCTGAGAAGGAGCTTCAAAGACCATAGGACTGTAAGCAACTTGTACCCTTTGTGACCAGAGCACCTGTGCTCCAATTATTTTTCATAATTGGAGAGCATAATAATATTTAATTTGGAAAAAAAGGTTTTGCTGCCTTAAAATTATCTAAAAACCAAGGCTGAAGTTATGGCTTAGTGGTAGAGCAGTAGCCTAGTATGTGTGAGGCCTTGGGTTCGATCCTCAGCACCACATAAAAATAGATAAATAAAATAAAAGTATTGTGTCTAACTATAATTAAAAAATAAAATATTAAAAAAAGTTATTTAAAAACCAATACTCTGGGGCTGGGGTTGTAGCTCAGTGGTACAGCACTTGCTTGGCATGTGTGAGGCACTGGGTTCTATTTTCGGCACCATATATAAATAAATGAAATATAGTCCATCGACAATTTATGTATGTATTTGTGTGTGTGTATGTGTGTGTGGCTCCCTCTCACCTCCCTGGATATGTAACAAATTAACACTTTTTGTGGAGACAAAAATGTTTTTCCCATTTATGTCCTTAAATAGATTTTGCACTGAGGCTATACCCAGTGGGAAAATGGGAAAATGTTTCCATTTTCTTTTTGGTCACAATATTCATTAATACACAATGCTCGCTTATTTATTTATTTTTGTAGTGCTGGGGATTGAACCCAGGATCTCGTGCATGTGAGGCAAGAATTCTACCAACTGAGCTATATATCTCAAGCCTCCCTTATTTTTAAGTGTGAAAGAGAACAATTCTTTTAAGTCTACAGGTTCTAATGTACTTGCATTTCTTTTAATCTGTCCAGTACAAACCCAAGGCAGATATTCTTCTGCTGGCTTTAAGTGTTATGCTATAGATGTATAGCAACTTAACATCTAAGCATCTGCTGTGGTTCATTAGTAAACTCACACATGAACTAGGGCGTTTTCTATCTTCATTGCAGCCTGCTCATGCTCCTGTAGTGTGCTTGGCCATTATAGGTTGCTAAGCAATAATCCTCGTGCTTGCATTGTTTTCACTAATACAGAGAATGGAAGTAGAAATGTGTTTGGTTACAATTCTAGTCAAACACTTTTCTCCTGGAACCAGCAAACCAAGAAAAGAAAAAGAGGAACAGCAGTCAATAGATCAGGATTCTGAACAAGACTATCTGAAGCTGTCTTTTGACAGGTAGACCTCTAAATGCAAGGATTGCAAATTATGGAACTGACCCAAGGGCAAATTAACTTAGAGGTTTAATTGAATATAGATTCAAACAGGTACAGGGTTTTTCAGTAGGTCTGAGTTTGGACATTCTTAAATCTTTTTTACAGATTGACTGATTATTTATTCGCACACTCAATAAATAATTATTGATTTCTTACTACATGCCTGGTGCTATGCTAAGCACTGGAATTCTTTTTCAGGATCAATTTCCTAAATTCTTCATAGAATTAAAAGCCTTTCAAGCTTTCGCCTAACACTAATACCTTCATCTCTCTACCAGTTCACCTTCTACCATACAAAGACCTATTCAGGCCCTAAGGGTATAAGAGCTTTCAACTAAATAAGTAGGTACACAAAAGATTTCCTTGTTCATAATTTGAAAGGTCTAGCCTCATAAGGAACATTTATCATTTTCTGTACCTAGGCATGGCCCACTGCTGGGTATAGCCTCAGTGTAAAATCTATTTAAGGACATAAATGGGAATGAATTACAATTCACATTATAATAAGCCTTAGCAGGCTCTTTCAAATGTTATATAATGTTAGTGGAACTGACTGCTGATTAAACTAGTGAAAACTGAATCAGAAGGGTCACCCAGCAAGCTGCATGATGTTCCTATTTAAACATGGGCCCTGTCTGAAACTTAGGTACCTTGTCTTTATTATCAGAATTTCTCAACATTTGTACATAATGTAAATGACTGCTATAAAAGAAGGAGGAAAAAAACACTAATAAACATTATTAGAATTGAAATTCTATTGGTATAGGAAAAGGTAGTTTCTACAAAACTCTGTTAATCTTTTTTTTTTAAGAGAGAGAAAGAGAGAGAGAGAGAATTTTTTAATATTTATTTTCTTAGTTTTCGGTGGACACAACATCTTTATTTTATTTTTATGTGGTGCTGAGGATTGAACCTAGTGCTCCGCGCATGCCAGACAAGCGCACTACTGCTTGAGCCACATCCCCAGCCCTGTTAATCTTTTTTTAAAAAGTATTTTTAGTTGCAGATGAACATAATATCTTTATTTATTTATTTTTATGTGGTGCTCTATCACTGAGCCACAACGCCAGCCCCAAAACTTTGGTAATCTTAGGCTTGTATAATAAGGATAGAGTTGGGTAAACTGATAATTTAAAAAAAAGATTTCTCAAAATGCAAGATAAGCTTATAACCTAAAAAGACAAATAACTAGAATAAAAAAAAACTGATACATATTTTTTGATACACATTTTTTCATAACTTTATTTATTTATTTTTATGGGGTGCTGAGGATTAAACCCAATGCCTCACTTGTGCTAGGCAAGCACTTTACCAAGAGCCACGGCTGGAGTTTAACCACAGTATTTTTTATGCAAAGGAAAGTATTTGAGTGCAATTTGAGAACTGCTTAGCAAGATAATATCACTTGAATTTTGACAAGTTTGTAACAAGGATTATGACACTTTCTTTGACATGTTGAAACTGTCAGTTCAATAGCAGTTCCTCTTCCTACTTCTTTTACATATTTATATATATGTAAATTCATATATTTGTACATAAAGGAAGGATTCAGAATATAAGGTTGAATAGTGGCTGATCACTAAAAAAATAAGTATCTTGCATTGCATTTAATATCACAGCACACTGTGATGTTTTTAGTAAATATCACATACAAAAACAGTTGATGTGAATAAATCAACAAGCAAAATATCCTTCCCTCTATATGCTTTGAAAAGCAATAAGAGAAATTAAAAATACAAGAATAGCAAAGTCTACAAACTCTTGATATTCTCTAAGGAGGCAATAAATTACATGATATAATATATACATGAAGTTTTGCAGGTGCAAATTTGACCACAGACCACTGAATACCCAATTAAATTTATAACAAATTAATTGATCACATTTTGTTTGGCATGTTTAGAATGAGTTAATCATTATCCTGGCCTAGTAATTAAGATCAAGCCAGAGTATATGTAAGGTGTGTTGGTGGTAAAATGGTGGGATGAGGAGGAAGTAAAATCAGGAGACTAAGAAGTGGAGTCAGGTGGAGGAGAACAGTTAAAGACTTGACAGGAAGAAAAATTTTTAAAGTTTGTGAAGCTGTAAAAATAATACTCAGTTTATAAGAAAGGCAAACTAAGTGTCAGGAAGTTTAGTTCTTAAAGCACATGTATTACAATAAGTATTAATAAGAACAAGTAGTAAATAATTGCTCTTAATTGGCTTAAAAGACAAAAAAACCCAAAAACAACAACAAAAAAAACACCTCAGAAAAAGCACCTAGAAGTTATAACTAGGATCTACACAACAATTAATAGTTTAGAAAATACTTTAATAATTATTATTGTAATTTAGCCTGGTCAAGCCTAGCACATACTAAACTCTCATTAAGGTAAGTTGAATTGATGTGAATTTAAATATTGTAAAGATTTTCTCTTGGGCTGGGGATGTGGCTCAAGCGGTATCGCGCTCGGCTGGCATGCGTGCGGCCTGGGTTCGATCCTCAGCACCACATACCAACAAAGATGTTGTGTCCGCCGAGAACTACAAAATAAATATTAAAAATTCTCTCTCTCTCTCTCTCTCTCCCTCCCCACTCTCTCAAAAAAAAAAAAAAAGGATTTTCTCTTGGTACAGGGTTTCATTAAATGTCTGGAATTAGATGTTGCTGTAGTGAAAGAGATAAATGTCTTGTCCACTTATTTATTGTCTTTTTGATCCTGTAAATTTTCAGTTTGCATGATTATGTGGAATTTAGGTAAAGAATGGGGATAGGAGTCAAACTTTGGATCACACAGAACAAATGTGTGGTCAAGTACAATACTAAAAAGAATAAACAGGACCAAGAACAGTAATCAGCCCAAATGACTACAATTCATTTTATTTTTTTATTTTTCTTAAGAGAGAGAGAGAGAGAGAGAGAGAGAGAATCTTTTTTGTAGATGGACACAACACAATGCCTTTATTTTTATATGGTGCTGAGAATCGAACCCAGGTCCCGCCCATACTAGGCGAGTGCTCTACCACTGAGCCACAATCCCAGCCCAATTTTATTTTTATATTAATGGATTATCTACTAGGCATCAGTCAGCTCTCTAGACTATGTTTTTCTCTTTAATTAAGTAGCATAAGATGGAAAGTCATAAAGTTTCCTCAAAAAATGTTAGTAGAGTGTAAAGGGACTATACTTTATTTCCCAAATGGCATTTGAATATATCAGTGGAATATATTTTTGAAACACAAAATCTTACAGAATGATTCCCCAGTGAAAATTTAATGTTAGTTTTAGATCCTATTGTGTGTGACTAGTTCTCTACCTTGAGATTTTATTTCATCTGTTGCTTCTTCTGCCACATGGTTGCTGGTCTCTGTTGCAGAAACATCTGGTAAACTCTGTGAGCCCTTTGAAAGGAGAATACAAATACTAATTTCAAAATGAGTTGCTTTTCATCAAAGTTGCCTCAACTCTCCTACTTACTTTTTCTAGGATTTAATGTTACATATTAGAAGCAAAGCAGTAATCACAGTCTATTTACTACATTCACAAGATGAAATGTGTTGACTCAACAGGTCATCTTCCTATTGCTAACAGTCATATGCTAGCAACATCATTCCTGTTGTACATTAATCCTTGAATTATACAATATTTTCAACAAACATAATTTGAGAGCATATCATAATGAAATCAGAACTCTGAGAATGCTACTTTAAAAAAAACACATCTTCCATGGTTTGTGGTATAAAGAAAAACATTTCATCTTCACTGAGGAAACTGAAGATCAAGTTTATGAATAATAGTAGCAGAACAGCTTTTTGTGTTCCTGGTGTACTTCAATAATAGGATATTTAAAAACTCATATTAGTCATCTTGATGTAAATTCATATAACTATTTTATTTTTCTTTACAGTACTAGGTGTTGAATCCATGCTTGCATATGGCAGGCAAGCATTCCACTCTAGCACTGAGCTACCCTCCCTGATTTAATCTATTTATTATTTATTTATTCGAGACCAGGTCTTTCTAAGTTATTCCAGCCTCAGCCTTCTTAGAATCTGGAATTAAAGCAGTGCATCAACATGCCAGGCCTATAACATTTTAATTGCCTCCTTTTAAATTAAGTGTTCGTCCTCACTATAGTTTTGTGTTTATTTAAACACAAGGTTACTTAAATGATTAACATGGAAATTTCTTCTTCAGCAGGACAGCGAAGTTACCCTAAAAACTGGTATTTCCTGTAGTTAGGGTAATAGTTCTGATTTTAGAAAGCAGCCTTTATTTATGTGTAATTTATAATTGCTCTTCACAAATAATTTACCTATCTATGGAAATTTCCTATAACTGAGTAAGTCTGATTAATAGTTAACATGAATTCGCCCTTTTCCATTTGCTATTTTGCTCATCTTTTTGAACACCCACATTTTTTTCCTTCTTCATAAGAAAATTTTATCCTACTGCACTAAAATCTAATTGTCCATGACAACTCTACCTTAATAGGCTCTGTCTCTTCAGTTGAATCCTCTTTCTTTTCTTTGTTGTCTTTTCCATTTTCCTGAAAAGGGAATAGTGTTAGTAAGTGGTATTCAAAAGCAGCTGGGGATTAAGCTAACATTTTATACTATAATATAAAATTTTATTTTAGCTGGGTGTGATGGTGCATGCTTATAATCCCAGCAGCTCAGAAGGCTGAGGCAGGGGGATTGCAAGTTCAAAGCCAGCAACTTAATGAGACCCTAAGCAATTTAGTAAGACCATGCCTCAAAAAAAGAGAGAGACAGACAGACAGACAGACACTGGGGAGTGTAACTCAGTGGTAAAGTGCCCTAGGTTCGATCTTTAGTATAATAACAACAATAACCACAACAATAATAATAACAACAACAAAAATCACATAATGAGCAGATATCATTCAGAATAAAATTAGTTGTGTCAACAAATTCAAACAATTAAGTCACACTATATTATAATTAAGAAAGGCCAACCCACTAAAAGCAGGTTACTGTGCTTCAACATTATTTTGAGCCAAGTTTTTCAGCATTTCTGTCAAAACCTGATGCAGAATATTTTGACTATAAAAAGAGAAATAATTAAGTGATAGAAATGATATTCTATTTCAATTTCCCAAGAATGTGGAATTTCAAATCCTCTCATAAATAGTTAGAAACCTAAATAAGGCCAGGAACCTGAGCAGATTTGGCTTCCTCTTGAAATGGTGACTCACTCATCTGGACCACGTAAAAATATCACCAAATTGCATGGAAAAGATCAATATTACCAGATCAATATTAATAACATAAAGAGAGAAAGAAAATGTTGATAAACAACAAAAAGTGTCCTGGAAGATCAAAATTTTCCTCACCCCTCCCCCACCATTCTATTGACCCGTTGTAAAGTCTCAACTGCTGAATTTTTCAAACTGTACTAGTGTTATTACTTTTCTTACTGACCCAAGCTGTCAGTGCTAGACCAGAGGAAACTCACAGTAACTGACACCATTATCACTTTTTTTTTTCCAAAACATACTAAGGCAATTGAATTTTTAATGTTATTATCACTTTATTAATTTTTGAAATAATAATCAAGGTAAGGTAAAGTGCACTCTGATGGCTATCTAATCCCTGTGAGAAAGGTAAACAGAATAATGACCTCCTTAAAAAGTTTTTTGTTTGTTTGTTTGTTTGTTTGTTTGTTTTTGTGAGAGAGTGTTCTGGGAGTAATATGATTTTTCTGGTTTACTTATATTTAGGAATTAAAATGGATAATTACCACATCCTCATTTCACTGCAAGTGATCCATGATTTCAATCACAAAAAAATCACTGCTGTGCCAAAATTCATTGAGTTTGTGTATAAAAGGGCTAGGTGCTGTGTAAAGAATAAATTACATTTATGTGGTCTCTGCCTCCAGGGCAGTTACAGTCTAGACTCTCTTTAATTAGAAATAGCATATATATATTCTGGAGTATTCATTTTCTATCGATATAACACTTGTTCTAGTTGAATAAATCCAAAGTATTGCCTTTGGAGACAAAAGGTTCCAACACAAAACAGCTGCCTCAAAGTCAATTTTAAGTAGTTCATAAATAATTAACATAGATTTTTGTGGTATGTTTCAACTATACATTCTTTGCTTATGGTGTCTATCTCTTGGATTTGCTAATAAGCTTCCTTCCTCTTTTTTTTTTTTTTGTTCCTGGAGATTGAACTCAGAAGTACACTACCCCTGAGCTACATCCCCCGTCCTTCTTGTTTGTTTTGGAGATAGGCTCTCACTAAATTGCCCAGGCTGGCCTTGAACTTACAATTCTCCTGTCAGCCTTGAGTTGCTGGGATTATAGCCATGTACCACCACACCTGGCTTCCATTTCTTCTGTTTTGTTTGTACATGTCTAGATATATTCAACTAAATAACCTTCATTGAATGCCTTCTATTTACAAGCAGATGTTGGGGTTAAAAAAGGATAATTAAAACCTGCCTTTGAAGAGTTCTAAGTTTAATGATGGAAAACAATTCAATGAACCTTCGAAGTACAAGAATAGAGGTACATACAAAATGTTAAGAAACAAAAGGAATAAACAATCATTTTTCTTAGGGCAGTCTGGTAAGTTTTCATGTAGTAGATTTCCAAGCTGAATTTTAAAGGACTAATAAGAATTTTGTGTAAGGAAAGGGGAAAGGCTATTTAAAACAGAAGAAACAATACACTCAAGGGTATGAAAGTTTAAAAAGTATTCATGTAACAGAGCATAGTTATGTAAAAACAGTGGCAGAAGATGAGGCTAAATAGGTGATTATAGTCAATATGTAAAGAATTACTAGTGAAAGGAAAGTGACCATAACACTTGAAGCGACCAACAGCTCTTTATTGCAGCAATGCAAAAGAGGAGAAAAGGGGGGGTAGAAGGCGGGGAGAGCAAAGAGAGAGAGAGAGGAGAGGAGAGAGTGAGAGGGAGAGAGAGGGCAAAAGTGAGAGAAGAAAGAGAGAGCAAAAGCAAGAGCAAGAGAGAGGGGCCTGGCAGGAAGGAGTTTTTAATAGCCAAAATCTAATGGGGTCTTTGGGTCTGCAAGCTGCCTTGTTGGTGTACAGTGATTGGATCATACAGTAGTTGCTAAGGATGTTATCTTCTGCCTTCAGGCAGATGGGGCAGGAGTCAGATGTGGGTTTTTGTTGCACCATACCCGTGAGGGTTGGGTGTTCAGCCTTGAGTGGGGTTGAGTGTTCAGACTTGATGCAAACAGGTGATAAAGGACCAGACTGAGGAGGGTTTGAGGGCGTGGGTTATCCTGCAGATAACTTAGTTCAGCCTGCCCTGCACCTAACAACTAGCTTTTGTACTTTTTTCTGTGCTCTTAAGTGGAGGACAAACGTTACCAAATATTGGTGTTTAAAAAAAGTTAATTCCTGCCAGGCACGATGGCACACGCTGGTAATCCTTGTGGCTCGGGAGGCTGAGACAGGAGGATTGTTAGTTCAAGCCAGCCTCAGCAATGAGGCACTTAGCAACTCAGTGAGACCCTGTCTCTAAATAAAATACAAAACAGGGCTGGGGATGTGTCTCTGAGTTCCATCCCTGGCATTAAAAAAAAAAAAAAAAAAAAAAAGTAAACTCCCCCAGCAACATAGAAGATGGGTTGGAAATGTGAAAGACTGAGGAAAGTGAGAAGATAAATTTTGCATCTTAAATGTTGCATTCAAGGTAAATCCAGCCCTTGCTGTAGTATAGAGTTTGCTGGACATTGTCAGTATAACCCAACCATATCCCCTCAGGTTTACCTTTTCAGTACATGCAGATAGACTGCAAGCTCCTGCAATCCTGCTTCAGGATTTTCTCTAAATCCACGTGGACAGATCAGAAGTGCTTGGAAGCTAATACCTATGAGAAAAGCCCTTAGCCAATGATGGATAGGAAGTTGACCCATGGGTGGGAGATTTCTGAGGTAGATTTTATACTGTTTTCCAGAGTTTCTCAGTGATTAAGCCTCAGCTGCCCACAGTGTAACCTGCCCTATAAAGAATGTTGGGCTTCCTTCACATCTCTGTATTACTTTCCTACTCCCTTTACCATTGTTTCTTGAAACCATCTTCCAAATGAACTTGTGTTCAAATCCTTAGGTCAGGATCCTTTCCTAAAACATATATAATCAATAGGATTGGGGGGCGTAATTAAATCTAAGGACTGAAAGAGAAGGAGCAATTAGGAACTTACTGAGTGTTTCTTTTCTTTCTTATTCAAAAAGCTGGCTAGGTGTGATGCCATTGAATGAAATAAGGAAAAGAGAGAGAAATGGGTTTAAAGAATGATTCAATGAGTTTGTGTTTAGACATTCAAGATACCTGAAGGATTGCCTGATGTAGTTTCCAGCAGGAGTCAGAAGGTCACTGAAATGTATTATGATGTATTGGAAGAAAATTATATAGAATTAAGTCCGCTGGAATATGATGGGGGAACTGTCCATTCAGAACACATTACCTTGCATTTTCATTACTCCAAGTAGATAATACTCTGTATGCTTCACACTCTTTCTTATGAGAACCCAGAGTCATTCATTTAGGTTGTTGGCTATGAGACAGAGCTTCTATAGATCTAGTTAAGAACCCTCCATACTTACTTTCTTCAGATTTGTAACTTGTCGAATTGCAGCATTTGGCATCTTAGTATGCAGGACTGTTAATCATATATGATAGTCAATTGTCCTTGAAGAAGAGGTTTCCCAGTATAAGAGAAAAATCAAAAATCATTCTGATTACTCATTCTAATAGAAGAACTGTGTTTTATTTAACTTCCTTGAGATTCTTGAACACTTGAGTGTCAGCTGAATTTGCAGGATGATGCTACTTGGTAGTATCTTGTGGGACTGAGCCCTTCAACCTGTGGGATCTGTATGTAGATAATGCCAGAACCAAACTGAATTATAGGATACCCAGTTGGTGGCTGCTGGAAAATTATTTGGTATGTAGAAACAAAGAAATAAAACCCCCACTCATCTGTTCATAAAGGTGTTCTGGGTTACATGTGAGAATAGGAAAAACACTTTGGTTTGAAGTCTATGGTGCATCTAAGGTAACTACAGCAACAACAAAAACCAAACTCAATTACTGTCAGATTAACACAACTCCACTTACTAGTGGCCTGAAAGAAGAGATGTACCTATTTCTCAAAATAAATTCTATTTACCTCAGTTCTACTACTTGTTTACATATAATGTCCAGCATTTTAACACATTATGAGACTCATTAAACAGCAAGAGAAAAAATGACCCATTGTCAGAAGATAAAGGCACTGTGTAGAACTAGAGAAATGTTAGAACTATTCAATAGAGACTTTAAAATAACAATGATTAATAATTATATTGATAATTGATTAAAATGTATAACTAAGATCTATATTTTTATATATGAATATATATGTATACACACACACACAGACACACACACACACGCACATTTTTTTTTTTTGGTACTGGGGAGTGAACTCAGAAGTGCTTTACCACTGAGCCATATCCCCATCCCTTTCTATTTCTTTGTATTTTGAGACAGGGTCTCGATAAGTTGCTGAGAGCCTCACTAAATTGCTGAGGCTGGCTTTGAACTTGCAATCCTCCTGCCTCAGCTTCCTGAGCTGCTGAGATTACAGTCATGCACCAACATGCCTGATATTATTTTTATAATACATATAATTGCAATTATAATATATAACAATATAACTTTTAATCCTGTTAATATAAATATTTAAATATTGCAATAGCTATTAAAATAATTACAAATAAAGAACTTAGTGGAAATAAACATCCATAGTTATGTGTTTTCAGCACAGAGATAGAAACCATAAAGAAAAGCCAAATAGAAATTCTGGATATAAAAATCATGATTATAGCGGTGAGGAATTCCTTTGATAGGTTTATTAGTAAACTGGACCCAGCAGAAGAATCAATCAGTGGCTTTGAAATTAGGTCAATTGAAATTATCCATTCCTGAAATCAAAGTGGGGGAAAGAATAACAGCACTTAAGAGCTATGGGGCAATCTTAAATAGTTTAACTTACATGTAATTAGAATCCCAGAAGAGAAAAGAGAGTGAGATGAAAGAAGTTTGAAAATAAAATTACTGATAACTTTCCAAATTTATGAAAGATAACAAATCAGCTTCAAAAAGCTTTGAAAATTCCAAGCAGGATAAATACAAAAAAAGCACACCAAGGCATATATACAAAAAAAACTGCAAAAATCCAAAGATAAAATATTGAAAATAGCCAGAGAAGTAAGAAACATTACACACAGAAGAACAAAGATAGTAAGGCCAAATAATTTCCCATCAAAAACTACACAGGCCAGAAAACAATAATGACTTTGCTAAAATATTGGGGGGGAAAAGAAGAAAATTCTATACCTAGTAAAAATCTTTCATGAATAAAAGTAAAAAAAAAAAAGTAAGACAAAGGTTTTTTTTTTTTTTTTTTTTTTTTGCAAAAGAACAAAAGAGAGGATGTATTACCAGCAAAATTG